CAACAGGACCAGTTGATCCCAGGAAGACTCCTTCCTGCACTGGAAGCTGGAGTTTACAAAATAGGCTGCGAGCTGAATAGTGTGCTTCTAATCCCAAAAGCCCTAAAGGGTCTGAGCAGGCTGAGCACATGAATGGCTTGTCTGTCCAGTGTTATTGCTTTGCAACCACAGAGGATAAACTGTCTGTGGATACTGGGGAAATGACTGTATGTATGGCCATGTTTATAAACATTAGTGACTGAAATCTATGCCCCATCAAAAGTCCTGAACTTAGCATGAAGCTGTTAAAATCCTGTGCTTTTTGCCTCCTGAGTTTTTGGAGTGCATTAGCTTGCTATGTTCAAACTTTTCTCTGAAACCTTAAAAACTGGGAAAATGTGCATATAAATAGAGATTCGTATTTCATCTAGTGGAACTTCAATAGAATTATTAAATATAGGAGCTGAAAACACTGAAAAAGTAGGTTTAATTTAAGTGATGATTGAAAATCACACTAAGCCAAAGTCTCTAATCTTGTGAAAATGATGCCATCCCCGTAAGCAGAATAATGGCTTTTTATCCTTGATCTTAGGAAGGACAGATAGCAAAAAAAATGTCATAGCTGCAAAGGGTTCTGAGTTAAGAACGATCTTATCTGAAAAAGCTATCACTAAGATTGTTACAAAATTGCTTCTTGTAAAATAAAAAAGAACTGTGTTTCTTTTCAAATTATGGTAGAAGCTCTTTCTGAACGGTGTTCCCATATAGTGTCTAGGCATGTGAGCATATTGCTTTATGGTAATATAAGAAATACTCACCATATGCAATTAAAAAGTCACTTATTTTCACTGCCTCCATCAAATTAAATGCTAACAGTAAAGAATAGAGATGGGAGATGGTGTTCCTTTACAAGTGGCGAAGTTCACCTCTGTCGTACTATTCTGTCCAGCTACGTGAGATAACATCATGATCAGAGGTAGGACACTTCAGAATAAGTACTTTCAAAGAAAACGAGGAAATGGTAGCTAAACCATTGGAAGGATGGTTTGTTTCCACGTGTAACTGAGTATAAACGAGATATAAACACAAGTGGTTTGCCAAAGATGAAGCCCATGCTCTAAAGCACCCACAGCAGTAGAAAATAACCTTGCAAAAGAAAAAGGGTGCTGTACGTTGGTGGCAGTTGTTTGTGAGGCAATGCAAACACCAAGAGACTGGCAGGGAAGCTCTCTCCTGTCCAGACACAGGAGTGAGGAGGGCGTGAGTTCAGTGTTGTGCAGGGTTAGGGAAGGTGAGGGCCCTTAGCCCTCTTCTTATCCATTAATAATATCAGTTAACAGCATGTTGGGGGTTTTGTGTGAGGTTTTTGGGGTTTTTTAAAGAAGCTGGTTTGAACCATTTTACTCAGGGGCTGGTCGCAGGCCCCCAAGGAAGGGTTTGCAGGTGCCATGCAGGGGTGGGCCCGTACAGTCGCTGCGACTGGGACTAGAGAGGTCCTGTCCAGGGACTAATCTGAAAAGTGAGCACTCTCAGGGAAATCACACAGAAAGATAAGCGGTTCATCCTGCCACCTAACAGTTTTTACTTAGGGGGATATGAGGGGTTCAGAGGACAACTCAGATGTGATGTTACAATAGCAAGAGCGGAAGACCAAGTCTAAAATATGAGGCGTAAACGTACACGGGGAGGATTGCAGGCCGTGGCCTGCCGCTTGCAAAATGGGATTGCAGACATAAGTCCTCTTGAATCTGATAAACGGGAGAGTTCAGCAATGCAAAATCTGTATTTTTGAATTCTTCACTGTTAATAACTTGTGTTATAATGATAGTAAACCAGGCTAGGAAAGAACCTGAAGACATTATCTCCAGTTACCATTTGGTAGTTTCTTGACTGCAGAGGAACTCATTTAAACCAAGCCAGTTCCTGGCCTGCGCAGCTTCAATTCATGCTTTCCCATTGAAGGGCCCCGGACTCCAGTAGGCATTTGTTTCCTTTTTTTCTTTTTTTTTTTTTTTTTCTCTCACTCCTTATGTGCTTCCATCCTGGGTCTAAAAGAACCTGCTGTCGTAAGAATTATTGAAGCTAAAAAAAAAATAGTGCTTCGTACCATCTGAAAGCTTTGCAGCCTTGAGTCATATGGAAGGTAAAAAGCAATCCATCTTAAAGATCAGTGGTTTTTAAACCTCTGAAACCCACATTTGACCCTAGAATTGGGAGGAGAGGGATGTTTATCATACTAATGGGATTTAAAACCTAATTCCTCCTAGCCTTCTATAATGTACACAGTATTTCCCAAACAGGCACAAGCATGGGTGGGAAGGCTTGTGAATTGCCAGAAGACCTGAGACCTGAACAGCACAGGCTTCTGGTTTAGGCAATGTTATTTATTTATCTGGATAAACATTTCCTTTTTCACTGGAATAAAAGTTGGAAATGATATTGTCCTGGTTTCAGCTGCAATAGAGTTAATTTTCTTCCTAGGATCTGGTATAGTGCTGTGTTTTGGATTTAGTATGAGAATAATGTTGTGAACACACTGATATTTTAGCTGTTGCTAAGTAGTGCTTATGCTGTCAAGAACTTTTCAGCTTCTTGTGCTCTACTGACTGAGAAGGCTGGAGGTGCACAAGAAACTAGGAGGGGGCACAGCCAGGACCACTGACCCAGACTAGCCAAAGGGATGTTCCATACCATATGATGTTATACTCAATATATAAACTAGGGGAAAGCTGGCTGGGGGCCTCTGCCCTGGGATTGGTTGGGCATCAGTCGGAGGGTAGTGAGCAGTTGCATTGTATATCACTTGTTTTGTATATTATTATTACTACTATTACTACCTTTTTAAAATTTATTTCAATTATAAACTGGTTTTATCTCAATCCATGCGGTTTTTTTTCACTTTTACTCTTCTAATTCTCTCCCCCATCCCACTGTGGGGGAGGTGAGTGAGCGGCTGTGTGGTGATCAGTTGCCAGCTGGGGTTAAACCACAACAGGTACAGAGATTATGTGTTTGTGAAGCTTGACAGTGTTCTGCAGTGGCTTTGTTGGCCAGGATTACACACAGGGAAAATAGATATAATCTTTGTTGCATTAACAGCTAAGCATTGGCTTCCTTTTTATTTCATCAGGTTTACTTGTGCAACCTTCATGTTGTCCCTGTGGCCAGTCATGTGGAATTTAAGATAGCTCTGTTGTCAGTTCTTGTCACACTGTTTATTCCTTGAGCTGCTCCACGTATTTGAGCAACAGTGTCCTCATATCCTAAATAACAATGTCCTTACCCTACTGTTGGAACAAGTATCTCTGTTCCCTTCCATCCACTCTTTAGAGTGATACCAGTCTTCTCCTTCTTCCTATGCTTGCTTTCTTCTGCTCAGGAAATGCCCTTCCTGAGATGCTCAACAAAGCCACAACCCTGTACCTCTTTAAAACTTCCCTGAAGATCTACTTCTGTGATGCTTGCAAGAAACTAGCTGAGTAATCTGCTTATCTATTTCATTTATCTCATGAGTGACTCACTCCTTCCACGGTGCTGCAAGAAACCTGTTGATTAAATATACTTCCCCTTACTCTGTTTTTATTTGATAAAAACATTGCTGGATTGTGGCCTGCATTGGCCTTTGCGGAGGTTGGGTGAATTCTAGGATAACTGGATCATGATCACCTTTTGGATGCCAACTCTGTTCTTCCTGCCCATTTGTTGCTTGTATCTTTTGTTGCTTCTTATTACAAAAACAACTTTGTCCTCCAGCTGCCTACAAATAAAGGGGCTTTGCTTTTCACTTGGCTCTTCATGACTTTAGCAGGGCACCAGATACGTGTGGGAGTCCACTTACTTGGAGCTGACTGTAGGCTCGGTGTATTAGTTTGGGAGCTACTGCAGGGATGTTCAATGTTTTAATGTTTGTCTCCTGCCACAATTTACAGGAGTGTCTAAAAGAGAAGCAAATAGCATTTTGTGTGACTATTGACTGTTGTAATCGTACTCCATGCATTTTTCACGTTACCTGATTTTTACTGTTTGTAACTCAAAAAGAAGTGATATAAGTGTCTGAAGGTTCTCAGCTTTCTAATGCTCTCTAGCAAGTGCAGGTAGTGTTATCCACACTTTAAACAAAAAATTTCAAGGTATTTTAGTTGAACACAATTTTAACTTAATGGATAAGAGTAACAATTTAAAGATTTTTTTTTTCTTTATGAAAGAATGTAGCAAACTGAATTTTTTTAATAATAATACTGTGTAGTGTCATGAAGTAATGCATACAGGGATCGTTTTTACTCCTGTGCTAGATTACAGGCAGCATTTATTTGTGGCTTGTTGTGCTTGTCATGTCTTTCTAATACATAAAAACCAGTGTCTCCCTTTTTTGTGCAAATGGTGACGTGGGTATTTAGCATCATCTGCAGCGGAGCTTCTCCACCTCTATGAAGATAAGCACATGCTGTGTGTCAGCAGGATCTGTGGGCTGGAGTGTAAAACATACCTGTTGTTCACTTGCTACCAGCATTTCCCAAGGAAGCGGTGTGGCCTTGGCTATGTCAACATCCTTATTGGATACCAGTTTTGTGGCATTATTGTCTAGCAAGCTAATAGTCACATGGGTAATTAATATTGCTAGACACAGTGGCAGTGTTCCTCTAATCAGTAAAGACTCCGGATTGTTCAGTAAGACCCAGAGCTTGAATCCCCATATTCCCTACAAGCCTTGCCTTGGAGCTGGAGGTGTGCTAATGGAGCTAATTCTCTGGTTACTTTTCCTGCCATATGGGGATGGGTTACCCAGGCATGAGTCCTGAATATTATCATAAGCATTAGTAATTTGCTAGATGGAAAACGAGGGAACTGTCTTTGAATACTCAGAGTTACTGCTGACTTACTCCTTCCTTCACCTCCTACTCAGGGACTGCAACCTGGGGAGCCAGAGCCCCCCAGGAGAGTGTAGGTTTCTCCAGTGAACTAGCTGAGAGCTTTGAAGCAGAACATGCCTACAACGTGGACTTTTTATTTTCCTCTTCTAGTTCAGCTTATGATACCAAAACAAGGCAGAAGGTGGCAGTAAAAAAGCTTTCAAGACCTTTTCAATCACTTATTCATGCAAGGAGGACCTACCGAGAGCTGAGGTTGCTTAAGCACATGAAGCATGAGAACGTAAGTGGAGAGGGAGTTCTTTCTCTTTGGATTTTTATGACAAAAGTTTGCATAACAGGCTTAAATTAAGTTCGGTACAGTCATCTTCTAAAAGCGTATGCAACTCTCTAGCTACTCAAGATACCTGGACCCTGGCTATCTAGGTGTAGTGAAGTTACTGGACTTTAGACCTTTTCAGTGACAGACTGCCTGCTTATTGAAAAATGATCTAATTTCACCTGGAACATATAGCTCATGAAATCCAAAACAGGTGGTCCTACTCTTCTCTAACTAAACTAGTCAGAGTGCTCTGCATGCAACTGATGGACGCTCTTGAAACATTAGGAAAAAAATACCTTAAACCTGCTTTTGCTAAATTTGGATTCTGTTGAGAAATTAAGGGCAGATACTCTCACTGAAATTAACAACAGTGTAATATCTAGGTGAAAGATGATATAATTTCAGGCTCCAAACAATTGAGTACTATTCAAAGTTTGTGGCAAACCGTTGATTTCAGTGGGAGTATCCACCTGCTTAAAATAACTTGAAGAATTGAAGCCTGAATAGAATGTAATGAACTGAAAAGTATCCTGGAGAAAGGATACTAGAAAAATGTAAACAACAGATCAAGATAACCATGAAATTGTGCATAATAAGTATAACAAGGGTGTAAGCCGTGTGTCATCTTTTCTGTGATGAAACATTGCTTTTTCTGCCTTTATTTCTGATTGTCAAGTCTTGTTGTAATTACCTTTTGTAATTAATAGAATATTCTGTTGGTCATGACGACAGCTGTGGCTATGCCTGTGTAGGCCACCTATTGTGCCAGTTGTACTAGTTTTCAGGATGATTATACGTCTTTTTTTTGGTTTTGTTTCATCCCCAAAATGCAAAGCACTGTCAATACTAATTACATGTTGCCTTATAGATTTCTAAAACTAAAATGTTGATTCCTTCATCTTTCAGGTTATAGGGTTGCTAGATGTTTTTACACCTGCAACATCAATAGCAAATTTTAATGAAGTGTAAGTAAAATTTTAAACTCATTCTGACTAGTTAGTATCACTCTGGTTTTAGAACAGTACCTGCTTCCTTTTTAATATGCTTGCAGCCACAGTTGGCTTTTGTGTGAACAACCCCAATAAATCTTTTTGTGACTTTTCCCCAAAAGAGGAGGAAAAATGGGCCCCATTTTTGTACTTTTTAAAAAATAATAAAGAAGATTATAGGTATATGGTAGGTGGTTTGATGCTGCATAAATTCCAGTAAACTTGAAACTTTTTCAGTTCAATTATGTGTTAGCTGTAGATTATTTTTTCACAGCTGGATGGGATAGTTCAGGAATGCAGGAAAGTATTCTGTTGGTTAACTGAGACAAGGTAAATTTAGGCTGGATTCCTGACTAACCTAGGGCTAGGTGTATTTCAGTGTTCCTCAAACATATGATTTGTGCTGAGTTCCTCTTGGTTTACATCGTCTATGAGCACTTAAGTAAACAATTTAGCAAATTTACAATTTAGAAGAAATAGTAATTAATATATTTTTATCTCAATGGAAATTAGTGGCCAACACCCTTTGATTCTGGGACGATTTACACAAACTGTGTATGATAGATGCATGCTTTTGTCCCAGCACTGCTTTTGGGGAAAAAAATAAATCAATGTTTCTGCAAAAATTTTCAAAAAAATAAAATCTCCGGTGGGGGTGAGGAGGGAAGTTACTCAAAACACTCTTATTTCACCCAATCCAATGTTAGTGTCCATCATTAGATATTCCGTGGCCTTGCAGGTAGTATTGGTGCCTCAGGCTCCCACTTTGATGCTAGGTGAGGCTTCCTATTAATCTCAAATTACAACACATTCTCCCCTCACTGAACTGCTGTCGTGCATCATGGAGAAGACAGAGGTAAAAGCTTTTAATGTACCATAAGGATTTTTTTTTCTTATTATATTAAATCTCATAGCTATGATTCCAATATTAAAGCTCATAGTTGATTTGAAGGGCATAAACTGCATGGTAGTAGAAAATGAAAAAGGAACCTACATGGAGTGTGTAGTTAATCTTTAAATGTGCTGCTTTCAGAAGGATTTACATTCTGCCATTCTCAGATGTGTTTCTTTGTTTTCTTCTCTTTGGTGTATTTTCACAGGTATCTTGTGACAAATTTAATGGGTGCTGACCTGAATAACATTGTCAAGTGCCAGAAGTTAACGGATGACCATATACAGTTTCTCATCTATCAGTTACTTCGAGGTCTTAAGGTACTGGTTGAATGCAGGGGTTCTAGAGTCAGCAGATGAAACGTTGTAGTAATGGCTGGTTCATTGCAGTGACAGTACTTAAACACTCTTTTTTGTGTGTGTCTTAAGATTGCACAGACTGAAGCAATAATTTCAGAAATTATTAGATCCTTTTTCTAACCAGCAATAAAACCCCAAGCCTGCCCATGTTTACATATGCAAAACATGTGACTACTCCCTTTGAACATTAACTTTAGATCAGTGTCTTTTTAAGTTATTATTGAGGGAGAATCACTTGCTATATGTCTCAAGTGAACACATTCTGTAGAGTACAGTGTGTGTTTTAGACACTTCACCTGTCATAGAATCATAGAATGGTTTGGGTTGGAAGGGACCTTAAAGACCATCTAGTTCCACCCCCCCTGCCATGGGCAGGGACACCTTCGACTAGACCAGGTTGCTCAAAGCCTCATCCAGCCTGGCCTTGAACACTTCCAGGGATGGGTCATCCACAGCTTCTCTGGGCAACCTGTTCCAGTGCCTCACCACCCTCTCTGTGAAGAATTTCTTCCTGATATCTAATTTAAACCTCCCTGTTTTCAATTTAAACCCATTATCCCTTGTCCTGTCACTACAGGCCCTTGTAAAAAGTCCCCTCCAAGCTTCCTTGTAGGCCCCTTCAGGTCCTGGAAGGCTGCAATAACATCTTCCTGTCATGAGATAAGGTGTCCCTGTCATGAGAAGGTAGTGAAAAAAACTGAAGAATGTGAAATAGATCAAGAACAGGGTGGCAAGTAACTCACATTTGTGCTTTGAAAGACATGAGCCAGTTTGGAAAAACCACAGCCCTGATTTTGTAGTGTGTCACATGGGTGAAGAGACAACCGAGTTAGTTGGGTTCCTTGGGGAATGTCTGGAAGTAGAAGTTTATCCTAGCAATCTATGATGTTGCACACGGTCGGCTAGGATTTACTCTGCATGTAAAGTCATTGTTCCTTTTATTCATATCAGTTAAAATTTATATAATTGGATAACAGAGGCAATTGACAATGAAATTGTAGCAAAATTTTCTTCTGAAAGCATTAAAATATGGATCATTTTGCTGATGTTAAACATATAAGTGTCTGTAAATAGCGGAAGATGTAGAAAATGCTTCTCATTACTAGGTGATAAGCATTTTCTCAGACCAGTGTTGATTTTCCCAGGTATAAGCAAAAAGAAAACAGAGGGGTCAGCTGCTGTAGTAGCTAACTTAACAGTAATTGATATTTTAGACCTGGAAAATAACTGTGTTTGAAAGCAAGCTGTGGTAAATACTGGCTCTGAAATATGCTTATTACATGATTTTCAGCAAGTCACCTGGTGCCTGAGACAGTAATTCTTATTCATGTATGCAGGTTCTGTCAGTTTAAGTGCAGATTTTAGTGAGTAAAAATTGCGGAACTGAGCCCTTAATTGCTTTGTCTCATTTACTTAAGTTAATAGCTTAATTAGGAAGATGGATTCTGGAATTAATTATCCAGCTTGCGGTTTTGAATGTGAGGCTGTGTTGTGTCAGAGCTAAATAATAGCAAGACTTGAGCTCTAAAGTGAATATTAATTTCAGAAATGCGCTCAGGTGCATTTCTGGCTCTGTTTTGAAAGGGAGGGGTTGCTGGTGGCTTGTCTCTTCTGGAACTGAAATTCTCATGTCTCATTAGTCGCAGAACATTTAATCGTACATAACTCCTCCCCTGCACCTACGCTGCAGTTATTACAGCGTGTACCCGCATACCTGAGTAAGGTACGGGCTTGCTGGTGGGTGTGTTCAGGGGTTAGGAGCGCAGGCTTTGCAGAAGCCGGCTGAGCAGACAAAGAGTCAGCGGGGAGCTGTGTAGTTTGGCAGAGGGCTGCTTGGTGGCACGGAGGGGAGCCCTTGTCTCAGCTGGGCAGGGGCACAGCTCCTTCTGTTGCAAGCGGTGGTTTGGCTTCCTCTTCATTCGACTGCTCCCAGCTGCTGTGAGGAGCCCTCAGGGGTGGCCCTGCCCTTCCAGCATGTAGGTCTGGAGCAAGAAGAATGCCCTGGTGTTTTCTTTGGGTTTTCCCAGTCGATATACAGGTTTTGCATGTAAACTCTGCTCCTAAAATAGAAGATAAATTCAACTCCAGAGAATAGAAGAGAAGGTTTTAGAGGTCTTGCAGATCTGTTAGATTAACTGACTGTTAATCCTAACAAGCGAATGATAGGCAATTAGAGTCAGCTTTTCTCAATCTTTTGAGTTTTAATGTTTTATATGAAATAGCAGAGACACTACAGCTGTTGAAGAAATACTGCTTCGGGTCCGTGCTTTGGAGGTGGACTTTAAGCAATGCTGTGGTTTAGGTGGGTATTTGCCCCAGGGTGCGAGTATCTCTCACCCGCATTCAGCATTCACAGTGTGGGAAGGTGATTGACACCATGTAGGCGTCAACCCTACTGCTCTCTAGGCACTGACTTTGCTGGGGCACTAGCCGATCAACATGGACATCCAGAGGACCCTGGAATAAATTCCAATTGGTAAGAAACTTTTGACAGAAGAATCACTGCAAGTGCTATCTTTTATGCTGGAGTCTTGTCTTCATGGCTACCTTTCTTGATACATCCAGCTCTGAATAAGACAAAACAAGGGTTTGAAGTTTGTCATACCTCTGTTTGATCTGAAAATGTAGTGTGACGTCAGCCTCTTCTGTATATAAAACAATCAGTCTCAGAAGTGAAAAGACAAGTGACTTACACCTTCCTTCACCTATAATGTCAAATCTTACCCTTTTTTTTTTTTTCCCCTATTCGTTTCACAGTATATTCACTCAGCTGGAATCATCCACCGGGTGAGTTCACTCATTGCCATAATAAAAATGAACAGAGCATGTCTCTCTGTGCACCAAATGTGTTACTGAGACCTAGTTATAATACACTCTAAAAGGTTAAAATTGTACTTCATCAACTCTGTTCTGCTACAGGACCTGAAGCCCAGTAACCTAGCTGTAAACGAAGACTGTGAACTGAGGGTAGGTACCATGCTGTTGTAATGAAGAATGTTGTAAAAGCTCTCAAGATGACAGTTTCCTGAGAAAACACTTGCTACTGCTTTTATTTCTGATTACAGGGATTACAGCTGTTTGCTACTGTTGCTCCCCTGGCATAGAAAACCCATTTCCACCAACATGTGTTTTCTCCCAAATGTTAATTTAGTATGAACACAAGTATCTTTGCATAATAGTGATTCTTACTTCCACACAGATGGTACATAGGCTAATAATTTGGCCCCTGTGTGAGTACTTAACTGAGTGTACCTTGAAAGTTTGACCTGTGATATGTGTCTGCATCTGCCTTGCTTAGATGAAGCCTTATAGCAACTTCTCTTTTTATAGCTGCAGAATATACAAGCTAAATTAAATAATCATATGGAAACAGATACCAGTATTACCAGTTACAGGCAGTAAAACAAACAGAAAACACCTCCCCAAAAAAACCCACAACAAAAAAACTCAAGTAATCCACACATTTCAAATGCTATTTTAATGCACGTGTCTATATAAATACATACCTCTGTGTATCTGTGTGATGCGATATTACATTATAAGCATGAGGCTCTGGAGAAGGACAAGATGTATTCTAGCTCTCTAAGCCTTTAAGCCTAAGAATGAGTAGTTTCTCCATGACAGCCAGAAACATCTTTCTCCTTGTGACTAAGACTGATGTAATCACTTTATTCCAGCTGCGAGGGATTTAAGAAAAGATTCCAAATACTACAAGATCAGCAAAAAGTCACAATAGTGAATAAGAACAGTGCAGTTAGGTTCTCGCACTAATCCGGATCTGTGGTGAGAAACTGTGGTTCCTCTTTGGTTTAGTAACACTTGCAGATGCTCAGCAATTTTCGTGATTATCCCTTTAATGTCTTCATGCATGTGTGTTCAGCATCTGTGAAATTTTATGGGTCATCTGGGTCTGATCATGCCCTCAAAAATGTGTGCTGTATTTTTGTACTGTAAGTAAAGGAGACTTTTAATCTTTTTTTTTTTTTTTCAATTATTATGGTATCTGTGCACCTCCCTGCCAAGCATTTGTTACACTGCTCTTTGCTTTGCTTATATTTATGGCTTTACTTCCTCTGATACCAAATTATTTTCTAATAGAACAAACTAGTGGGTATTTCCAGGTACAAACAAAAAGGAAATAGAAGCAAAAAGAAGGAAAATGTGTGTGTATACATTTGGTATAAGGTATTAGATATTAAAGAAAAATATTGCCAAAGCCCTTACAAAAATAAGGACGTTAATGTTTGAGTTTCAAGCCATTATTCATGCCTTGTTTTACTCGTGCTTTTATTTTTGCTTATTTAAGAAATAAATAATACTTTAAAGATATATTAGAAATAAAGATGTTAATGTGTTATTTGTATCTTAATATTTTCCTTTAGGCTTTTTATATCTTTCAATTGGATTATAACTGAGGACTTTTGAATGATACTGTTAAAATTTTCTTACTCCCAATGAAAAGGATTAGCCATCAGCTTAATAAATAATCCTGGATCTCATCACAGGAGGTTGCCACTGATCTTAATTCACATTTCTATTTGAAGAGAGGCTAACTAGCTCAGATGGCTGACTTAACAAACAGCACTGAGGCTCAGATACCACAGCCTCCCCGAGAGTCAGGGATACCTTTTAGCTCTGTAATTAGTGGGGCATAGACTAATCAAAAAACAGAAAGCAAAGAAAGGAGCAGGAAAAATGTAATTGAAATAGCTTCCTGTCAATGTGAACTTATCAAGGAAGAGCATATGGAGGGGAACATTTTGCCATCAGACCTATGAGTAATATGTGTACCTAAAGAGAGCTCCTTTGTTGTTTTGGTGGGAGAGTTCTACTGAAAACAGATGGTATGTGATGCAAATCTACCTCGTTACGCAGGATATAGGCTTCTCTCCTCGCAGTATCGACAGGATGCGTGATTTGGGTACATGCTACCTGTGTGCAACCGTGGTTAGGTAGGCATGAGAGGGAAACAACAGAACTGAAGATTTGGATGGTCTTTAAATATTTAAATGGCCAGTGGCGCTTGCTGTTGCCATTTTACACAAATGCTCCCAGATGATAGTGTTTCATTTTTTTTTATAGCAACAGTGCTTATTTTTAGCAAACGAATGTCAGCGGAAAATTGAACTAGAGGCAAAATGTAAAGTTTGCCTTAGAGGATGTAGGGCTGGGCTCGTCACAGAGGAAGTGTCTTTGTGGAGACCTGTAGGCTGCAGGGATACAGCAGGGAGAGCAGATGAGCTCGTCTGCAGAGCATTGCTGGTTTACTTCACGGATGGGGAGGGCCTTGGACCTCAGAAGTAAGTAATAGGGAAAATCAGTACCTGTAACAAAATTGAAAAGGGATTTTTATTAATTCTTTTTTATTTTGTAGATTTTAGACTTTGGTTTAGCTCGACAGACTGACGATGAAATGACTGGATACGTTGCAACAAGGTGGTACAGAGCTCCGGAAATTATGTTGAACTGGATGCACTACAATCAAACAGGTAAACTGCGAGCGCTTGCATTTCGCTACAGCTGGATATAGTGATACTTTTAAACCACGAGGCAACTCTGTTGAAAGATTTCTTTGATTCATTGTACACATTTCTCCTTCCATTATTTGGCAGTTGACATCTGGTCGGTTGGATGCATCATGGCAGAGCTATTGAAAGGGAAGGCCCTGTTTCCGGGAGATGATTGTATCCTTAACATTAAACATAAAATACAGCTATAGAAATACTCTCTAGTTCTTTCTTTTTTTGCAAAGACTCAAATGTTTCTATGGAAATGTTTTTGAGGTGACAAACTTTTAAAACAGTAAACTATTTTTGCTAATCTTTCAGTTTAATATATATGACAGCTGAATATGAGATCCACTGGTAGGAAAAAGACAGTAACAGATGTTCCTAAACAACAGCAAGTTACATTTACTCTTTGTTGTGTATCTGTATTTAAATAATAACCTAGTTACAACAGAGCAGATTTCTTCCATGTGTGATCTTGCTAAAGTAACGTGTTAAATCTGAAGCTGAGTAAAGGCAATATGTTTTGTTCAGCCAATACAATTTTAAGAAACAGCACTGCTTTTAGGTTGGAAGTTCCTAACATGCAAACTAATTAACTTTTAAATAATAAGTGAATTAATAGACAGATTGTGTCCAAAAAAAAAAACCCAGCAGTTCCAGAAATGCTGCAGAAGGAACAAAACCCTCTCTTTCCTTCAGCGCTGTGCTGTGGTCCCTGCTGGAGCATCAGGGATTTCCATTGGTGTTTCCTGTGCTGGCAAGAGGGGGAAAAAACACAACTGTTGCTGAGGAGAGCAGTAAAATAGTAAAAGAAAAATGAAGAAAAACAGATAATGAGGAATGAGGAAACAACTGCATCAGCAGAGGAAAGCTTTTAATATTAGAAACAAAGGCACATTCTTCTGTACTGAATATTGACGTTTCTTGCTACCTGAAACCCCTCAAAAAAACACCAAAAAACCACTGCTTCTAAAACTGAGCCGTTGCCAGGTGCAAAACAATCTGACATTCGAATTACCTGCAAAACCGTTAAGAGAGCTGAGAGACTACGTCTCCCCACTGACCTTTCTGTTGTGCTCAGCATCATTAGGCTATATTGTAACCACAGGCCTTGTCCAGACGTTCATCAACTGGATGATGGCTGTGCTTCAGACTGTTCGATTACGTGATATGTGGTATTTTCTTTGCTGTTATAAAATACTGTCTACAATTATATGATTACATCAATTTAAATAAAGCTGTAAAATAACCCTGAGTCTCTAGGGATAATGTAATATGCTTTTACAGGTCATGTATGACATTGAAAAATGAACATTTTAAAGTTTCTAATCTTGAGGGTGATATAAAACACATTTTTTTTTTAAAGCTACCAAATGAGAATTTTCCACTTACCCGCCCTCAGATTAGTAATCTAGCCCTGTGTGCTATATGGTATTAGACTGTTCTTCAGAAATCCTTCAGATCACTGAAATGTGAATGTGCTATTAAAACTAAGTTTAGGAATATGTCAAATTGGGAACTAGGACAGGGAAGCAATGTTTTGCATATACCTTTCTCAGGTACAGGCACACGTGACTGAGATTCATATCACAGAATCACTAAGGTTGGAAAGACAATCTAGTCCAACCATCAACCCAACGCTACCGTACCCACTAGACCATGTCCTCAAGCACCATGTCTACACGTTCCTTGAACACCTCCAGGGATGGTGACTCCACCACTTCCCTGGGCAGCCTGTTATAGTGCAATAGAGAATTTAGTACTCCAGCACTAGCCTTAATCAGGTATGAATTGGCATCCTTCCATGGACTACTCTGGAATGGTCTTGCTGGTTAGTTTTAAACATCTTAACTATCTGCATGAAAGCTCATTGTTTAAACCCTCAAGGACCATGTGCTGTTGATTTCCCTGAAATAATGCAGATATCGATCAACTAAAGAGAATAATGGAAGTTGTGGGCACACCCAGTTCTGAACTCCTGAAGAAGATATCCTCGGAACATGTGAGTTCATAGCTTCATTTGGTTAACTGACTTTCTCTCTAATTGGCATCGTATGTCACTGGTTGTGGTACAAGGCTACTCTGATTAGGAAAGGGGCAGACACTTCAAAGTGATCTCTCTCTTTTGCTGCCAGAATGGCATGATTAAAAACCAAATATTCTTTTTAGAGGTATCCCAATGCCTTGGCTGTCAGCTGGATTAATTTTGGTACTTGTTTGCATGTACTCAGTTTTTGAAAGGAGTTTTGCAGTTGGTCCTGTGTGCTGGGTTCAGCCAGG